ATACAATATTGAATGAGCGAAGCAAAACCTCAACAAAATACGAAACTTTCGAGCTGTCGGAAAGTTTGCTGGACTTGCCCGTTGGTGAGATATCTATGGAATGCGCCGTTCCTTGCACTTTTCGGCTTTCGCTGATTAAGTTCTCTGATTCAGATTCATCTTCGGATTGTTTTTCGATGGAATGTCGTGAAGACTGATATTCCAGGTTACTCGACTCTGTTGATGTTTTGATCAGTGGTGCTCTCTGTTCGTCTTGGATTGGCCGCCCTGGCTCAGGTGTATATTCTGTCCATTCCTCGATTTTTGCTGGCTCCCAACTTATTTTCTTCAGTGTTTTCTGCAGCAATGCTATCATTACGATTAAGCTTGAACGCTATACGAAGTGCATTAGCTCAGTGGCGTTAACGCTGGAATAAAACTAGCTGCAGTCGCACTGAGCGGACTACCGAAGAAATTGAGGCAGCTAAAGCGCTCTTTCTTTGCTCAATTTTTACAAGACAATCGTGAAAATAAAAAAAAAAGATCAAATTTTTGAACCTAAATTTTTGTATTTATTTGTTTAATAGAAGACAATTCCCTTAACTGCTCATCTCACCAGCATAAATCTGCGAAAAATACTGCAAAAAACTCATGTTCGTACTGGGAGTCGCTGCTGCCGCAACTAAGTTTTATTCTATTGTTTGATATTCTTAATGTTTCTTTTGTACTATGAAACGTAAACTACTTACTGATCTGAAACGCTCTGTTCGATAACACCTACACTGCGAACTGAGTGGCAAATTAAGACATGAAGATTAATATGAAAAAAAGCGCTTTAACCAACTGCTTCCTTTTTGCCATTTTGAATTTGATGCATTACTGGGACCAATTTTTGTTCAAAATTTCGGAAACAAAAAATGATTATTTTTTCTAAACTGAGCTGACCTCGGCAAAATGAGGACCCCTGGATGAAATCACGAGTGATTCGCTGCACACTCCTGCTGATGCTGTACTGGAGCTTTTATCCACTTCTCGGCTCTTGCATGATTTTCTATCACGTGTGGTGTCTTCCGCAGGCTGTGCTAAATCGGGAAATAATTCAGAATGGTATTCCAGATCACCGGATTCTATCGACTTGGTCGCATATACCTCACGGACTGGCCGCTCCGACTGATATTCGATATCCACTGATTCAATGGATTTCGAAGAACGTCGCTTGAATCTTTTTTTTGGCCCTCTCTGCAAGATAAAATTTGTTACGTGTTATTAACAAAATTTGTTACATGCCCGGTGTTTCAAGCATTTCTGTTGAAAATCACTTTTGACAAAGCAGAAGGCATCAAGGGAATTTTTTTT